CGGTCGAGGGGCAACCCTCGGCTGTAACCCTGGCGAAAGAAAGAGAGAGAGAGAGAGACAGAGAGAGCGAGCGAGCGAGAGGGACTTATCAGGCCATCTAGTCGGGGTCCACACCAGCCGATCTCCCAAAGTCTCACTCCGACAAACCAGACAGGACAACGGCGTAGCTCTAGCGCGCAGGGTTTCAGGGGCTGCCCCTGTCCCCAAACGCCTTGCAGCAAGCAAGCAAGCAAGCAAGAGGGAGAGACAGAGAGAGAGAGCGAGCTTCTGAAATGTCGCGCAAGCAAGCAAGCAAGCAAGCGAGCTTCTGTGAGAAGCTGGTGCATAGGATTTTCAATTGTCAGGATTGAGTGGGGGGTACTTCTGCGACCAGATCGACAAGGAGAACCGCGCTATGCTTCGCCAGCACTGCTGAAGCGGCTGGGCATGCTGGCGCGAGGCCGCCTGGCATACATCAGAGCAGGAGTGAGGCTTGCTAAAGCTAGGATGACGAAGATGGAACCCTAAACCATCCTAAACCCTAAACCCTAAACCCTAAGATGGCTCGGCCTTCGGGCTCATCGCTCTCTGATCAGGTGAGGATCCGCAGCTTCCAGGGGCGAAGCTTCGCTTGGCAGCCCATCTTTGCGGACAGGATTGCCTCAGGCGGCTTAGAGTTTTTGCAGGTTTCCGAGCATGTGTAAGGACGAAAGCCGACTTGAGAAAAGTCATATTCTGCCAGGGCGCTCGCTGGTGACGTCGGCCACATCTCGGGGCTGCATGCACTTCTGGGCTTCGGGCGAGCGCAGCTCAATCCGACTAAGGCGGGCTTTGCCTTCGGAAAGAGAGCACTGCACAGCCCTGCATCGGTTTTAGTCAAGACATGGAAAAGCCATCGCCTCCGTTGAACTTTGTCAGGCAAATCTGGCATCTGACTGGCAGCCAGAGGGTGCCGCCCGTGGTCTCCGCACTCTGGCCTCTGCACTGCCAAGTGTGGAGTTCATTCTTCAGGTGAACGATGCAACCTGGCAATCAATAGTTCCAAAGGTTTCATACTGGTAGCCACAAGTACTTACTTACACTTCACACTCTGCACCATCTGCGGGGTCATGTTGAGGCAGTGTGAAATCTAGGAAGAGCATGTGTAGATGCTGACTTCTTCCAAATTGAGATGTAGATGCCTTCAGAAAAGCTTGCAAGCAACTGCTCTGCTGCTGACGAAACTGCCCTTTCAGTCAACCCGTGTGAGTTTGATCTTGCTCCTTGCGTGAGAAGCCACAGGAAGGCACCAGTTGAATGTGCAGTATCTCGCAAAAGATGTCATGGCCTGCTGTCCTTGGCTATGCTCTGCCGAGGAGTTAATAGATGAGTATGTCAGTTCTACTAATACTGGTTGCGTGAAGCGTGACACATTCGAGGTCGCTATCGAAAATGTTGTGTCAGCTGGCAAAAAAATTCAGCAGCCGAGTCTTCCTGAGTCTGTGATGTACAGACTTATTGCAGAATCAGGAATGCGAGATCATGTCAGTGAAACGTGAGGAAAAGAGCGCCACTTTCTCTTGTCTTCAGGAAACACAGGAGCTCTTCAGGTCCCTCTTCCAGTCGACGGAGCCTCCACCGCCTTCGCCTTACTGCCAACTCCTGGGCAAATTTTCCTGTCATTCTAGTCCAGCTGCTCGAGGGTTGCATCCGCAGGAAAAGAGACAACAACTTGAGGGGTTCCGAGGCAAAGGTACGGGAGATGAGATGAGCGCCACAAGGGCAGCAACACGTGCAAAGCGACTTGAGTATCTGGGATGACACCAGGAATATCCAGGAATGCTATGTGAGGACATCTCGTTCTTTCCTAGTGTTTCAGGCTTGTACTTTAAGACGTAAACTTCACGTGCGTCTTCCGTGCAGTATGCAAGTGTTCGCAGGCCTGTATCGAATAGCTTATGTTTCAGGCAAGGCGCAAGAGTTTCGGGAATCGAACTTAGTGGTTGAGGCTTGACGGCCAAGTCTGGGACGGGATTTATGCGCGCTTCTGCACTGGAGGCCCAACTTGGCAGTGTTGCTGGATGCGTCCTGCGGCCTGGGCGTGGCGCCGGGCCGCTGGTCTGCGCCACCGAAAGGCACTATGCATACGTGAACATGTGAAGATACTGCTAGCCAACATCATCCCACAGCCATCGTAGTCAACAAAGGTGGCAGTGAGAGCTCAGCAGCAGCAGTAGGAGCAATAGTTGTAGTTGTGGTTGTAATTGTAGTTGTAGTTGTTGTGGTGGTTGTGGTTGTGGTGGTTGTTGTTGTTGTTGTTGGTGGTGGTGGTGGTGGTGGTGTAGTAGCAGCAGTGCCGGTTGCGATCGCCGTAGTAGTTGTGGTTGCAGCAGCAGCAGCAGCAGCAGCTGCAGCAGCCGATGTAGCCGCAGCAGGAGCAGGAGCGAAGGATCGCAGGAGCGCAAGAGGGCAGTAGGAGCAGGATAGGAGTAGGAATAGGAGTCGTCCTTGTCGTCGTCGTCGTAGTAGTCGTGGTAGTCGTAGTAGCCGCAGGAGGAGTAGTAACAAGCAGTAGTGGCAGAAGTAGTAGTAGTAGTAGTAGTCGTAGTCGTAGTCGTAGTCGTAGTCGTAGTCGTAGTGGTAGTGGTAGTGGTAGCGGTAGCGGTAGCGGTAGCGGTAGCGGTAGTGGTGTAGTGGTAGTCGTAGTGGTAGTGGTAGTGGTCGTGGTCGTGGTAGTGGCAGTGGTAGTGGTACGTAGTGGTACGTATTGGTAGTGGTGGTGGTGGTGGTGGTAGTAGTAGTAGTAGTAGTCGTGGTGGTGGTGGTGGTGGTAGTAGTAGTAGTAGGTGGTCGTCGTCGTCGTAGTAGTAGTAGTAGTAGTAGTAGTCGTGGTTGTTGTTGTTGTTGTGGTCGTGGTCGTTGTTGTTGTAGTAATAGTAGCAGCAGCAGCAGCAGCAGCAATAGAAGTAGAAGGAGTAGAAGGAGTAGAAGTAGTAGTGGTACTAGTGTTAGTAATGGTAGTACCAGTGGTAGTGGAATTGGTAGTGGTAGTGTTCCTGGTCGTACTTGTGCTATGTTGTGCTATGTTGTGCTCGTCGTCGTCGTCGTCGTCGTCGTCAAAAGGTTGTGGTCGTGGTCTTGAAAGCGAGTAGAAGTTGTCGTCGTAGTCGTGTCTACAGCCGCGAAGTGGAGTTGGTGGTACTCGTAGTTGTCGTAGTGGTGGTGGTCGTAGTAGCCGTCGTCCGTCGTAGCAGAGGTAGTCGATGTAGCAGCAAGACTTGCGCAACCAGTAACTATGAAGGACTATGAAGCAAAACAGACAGTGGCAATCATCATCGCCATCCTCCTTCTCATCGTCGTCATCGCAATTATCAATCCCGATCCTCCATTGCCCAGCTCGGTGGGCGTGTTGTCCCCTGCCTGGCCAGTTGTGCGACGCTTTGGTTTCGCTGGTGGCTTGGGGCCAGACACGGTCCTTCAGCAGCTGCAGCGCATGGCTGAAGCTTGCGAGGAGGGAGCTTTTCGGCAGGTGTGAGATCAGGTGTGAGATAGCTTCTGCATGCACGTCGCATTTTATCCGAGCACGAGTCGGCCGGCCACCGCTGCTTGTTCACTGCCGGCAGACTGCAAAGGCACTCTAGGGCTTAGGATAAGACCTGGCGAGCACGATGCACTCCCTTTCTCCGCTTCTTCATACTTAACTTCCCAAGCTGCAAGAATCAGAAGCTCGGCCCGCTGGTGACGTGTGCAAGGCTTGCCCTGTCTCGAGCCTGCATTTCTGTCTGCATGAACGGAAGGAGGATCACAGGGATGCGTCGGTCTGGATCGACATGGAGTCCCGCATCCGCAGCCAGGCGGGATGACGAATGCTGTCAGGCTAGCAGCATGTCTGTCCAGATGAAGTCTGTGCAGTCTGCAGCCGGTGCCGACTGCTTCGACTTGATGCTGATCCGACAAGTTGCCGAGCTGGTCCTGAAGTCTGGATGGCTGCTGAAGAGCAGCTTGTAGACCTTGCTACCCAGACATACTCGTGCTACTTTTGCTTGGGGGCTGGCCAGCAGCTTCTGAAAAAGTGGTATCTCTTGTGCGGCTTGCGTCAACATTTCTGGCCACCGCCGCGCTGTAGGACAACTGTTCAAGTGCTGTTTGTGGCTCTAGCAATCGCATGCAGTGTCTCAGTTTGCGAAACTCCTGTTTCCAACCGTGGTTGAAGTGCAACGTCTTTTGCGAAGTAGACAGAAGAAGCTGGGGACATTTCTGAACTCTGCGGCTTTGTGCCGACTCAGAAGGGAGAGGTGCTCATGAGCAAAGCCTGCTGCCCAGCTGCGTTCAGCGCTTCCCTCAGGAGCTGTTCTGTCCTTTGCTTCTCAGGTCTCATGTGGACGAGCCCACGTGATCGGTTCCTGCAGGCGGAGATCGACTCTGTGGCAGAGTGCTGAGCATGCTGTCCAGTTGCAGCGGAAATTCGATGACGTCTGTCATGCTTCGCAGAGGATGGCCTCCTCAATGGCTTGCTGTGTCCTAACTGCAGTTGGCGCTGGAGTCCAGCCGTGGCAGATACAGCCATCTTGTACAGGTCCTCCGACGGGCCAGCTCTCTCCCGAGGCAGGAGACATCAGGGCAGTGCTGACATTGAAGAGTTGCCGCCCTCCATTGCGCTCTGCAGCACTTGGCTGAAGAAGATAGATGTGGAGATGAAGGGCCTTTGGCTGCTGTTGCCTCTAGCGGATGCCGCAATGCGGCGGGCCCTGGTGGTCGTGGACATGACTGTAGAGCAGGCGCGGAAGTCAGCATCAGGGCCTGGGCCTGCAAAGTGACTCTCAGGTTGCGAACATCTCTTACAGAAAGAAGGAGGTCATTAGCACCATCAGAAACCTAGCGCAGAATGGGCAGTTCGTGGCTTGGCCAATGGTAGACATGTTCGTGACATGCGCTCGAAGGTCTCCTGTGCCCTGTGCCACCGAGGATGCATTGATCGATTCGCACCTTTGGTTCGAGAAAGGCCTGTGAGGAGAAGCTCGCGCATGGCGCGGAGCATCCCTGAGCTGTCAGGTGGCCCACCCTCCTCCCTGGCAGAAATGTACCCGGACATCGGCCGGGCAGGGACTCTTGGTGCCGAGCTGATCCCTGAGTTGCAGGGCCTAGGACTCGTGCCTCGACCGCAACGAGGCTGCCGGAGCTTCCGAGTCCTTGTGCTGTTGGCACTCCATTCTGCAAGGAGTTTGTGAAAAAGTATCAGCCCCGTCCTCAGCTGGTTGTTCAAAGGAGCGGGGCGCCGTGACTCCACGGTAGATGGCCTGGCGCAATGGTCGTTTGTGCGAGTCACATAGGTATTCTTGCTTTGGTGGCGGTGCCGACCTGGAACGCTACCTTCGCGAACGCAAGATCGACGAGGTGGTCATCACCGGCATAAACACGGACAGCCCGGAAGAGTATTCTTTGACGTGTTGCGACTGCTCCGAGACATGTCATGTGGTCCCCGTAACACTTGCGCAGGACTACTGTGTTTTGGCGACGGCTGCATGGCAAGCACATGGGAGCAGCGTTCAGTGCACTGCAGTAGGGATCGGTATTCAGTGGCTTCTTCGTGCAAGGCATCCAAATCAACCTGACAGGCTCTTGACTCGTTCTATGCCTTGTATCAGACGAGGGTAGTGGAATCTGGCGTATCCTCATTCAATGGACGAGCAGGACCGGGGGCCAGAACCGTTTCTGCAAAGATCGTGCGTTGGACGATGGAGAGAGGGAGGGGAGAGAGAGAGAGAGAGACACGACACCTAGAGTAGGGGTGTTGCATTGTTTTGTGTACTACTCGCATCACCGACAACTACGACGAGCAGGCCAAGTCCATGGGGGCAGTCAAAAAACTGCACTCGGAGATGGAAGCCCGCCTGGGTGCTCTGGAGGCCAAGCCTGTGGGCTCCTCGGTGGCGGGGTCTACAGCTGACACAGACCAAGGGCGCATCATCGGGGGATGGCATCCCGACACGACTGCCGAAGACACTTTGAAGGGGGGCAAGGAAGTGGGCCTGCGGAGGGGATACGCCATCCTCGCGATGAAGAAGCCAAGCGGGGGAGAGTGCAGCAGGCAATCCAGCGAGTCCGCAACGCGAACATCAGTTTGGGAGGGGTACTCCGCAAGCCGTGGATTGCCATCACAGAGCCCGGAACGCAGACGCAGAGCGAAGTTGGCGGGGAAGGTGAAGAGAACCATACTGGAACTGGGGGGAGACCCCAAGCTCATGGAGGTGCAGTTCGCGACGGGGACAGTATGGATGGACCGCTACAAGGTGTGCATCGCCGGGCGAGAAGATACGCAAGGAATGCAGGCCCAGCAGCAGCCAGTGCAGTACTGCCCACGCAATCCGACACGCATGGTGCCATCAGCAAGATGGCGGGCCAATTATCGGTGCCGGGCGGCCTACGGCGAAGTTCCAGGAAAGCGAAGCCCTTAAACTCCCCATCGGCAACCGCAGCTGCAGCTGAGGCGAGTGAGGGAGCTTGTCACCAACTACATGACACACTGGGCAACTGGAACGACAGAGGACCCAAGCACTCGAGAAGCCCTGGACGACATACTGTCGTCGGATGCTTACCTGCTCGCCCACCCGCTCGACTGCCCCGACTACCAGTACGTGATCCTGCTCTGGCCGAACAACAGCCTCCACAGAGGCCACTTCAACGAAATGCAACAAGGAGGACATGACTCACTTGGCTAGGGGAGGATCCCTTCGACCTCAGCGCGTTCTACAAGATCATGCCATGAGGGGGAATCCCCAGCTGAGTGAGGGGGAGATGACATGTCGCCGAATTTTCTTTTTCAATGACGGGCCGCTGGAGCAACCTAGATGCCTCGTAAATTGCACCCGCCGCTCGCGGGGAACAAAGCTGTACCATAGTCTTTTTCTTTCCGGCGACATGCATACTTTTGCCACTGCTTGGCCTTGACTGGATCTTCAACCCCGTCTTTTGCCTTGTTGTCGATGCTTCAAACGGAGATCCACGGGAAGCCCCATCCGTTGCGAAAGAAAGAGAAGGGGCGCAAGAAAGAGAGATAGCACCCCATACAGGGGTTCGCCCCTGGGCCTTGCGAAGGAAAGAGATGCGGCAAGCAAGAGATACTGAGAATTGCAACACTTGCCGAATTTGCAGGACATCTGGAAGGAGTGCGGAGTATCCACAGATTTCTGGGAGATATTGTGGTGGGCGCGGAGGAATTCTTGCCTGGCAAGGAAGCGGTGACCATCCAAGAGTGAGCCGGTCATGAAGACTGAAAGCTGTTGCTGAAGCTCGGAGAGCGAGAGCAGGAAGGTGCGCAAGGTCAGCTCTGAGTACAGTTTTCGGTTCCGGGCCGCCGAGACACAGCGCTGTACTGGCTGTAAAGCTGGGCCGATTCGCTGTCGATACAGAGTCATGTCGCGCCCTAGACTCCGTAGACTTCCAGAATGCTTCAGAAAAGCGTGGAGTGTATCACGGATGCACCGGGTACACATCGCAAGATATCGCAGATCATAGCAAAGCGCCTGAAGGTGTGACGCACCAACTCGGTTCCAGACCGGGACAAGGTCGCATTTGGGATGAGTGTAGTAATGGTGTGCTTGACCAGATGTACGTGACAGAAAGAGGTTTCAGCTTGGCTCGAAGATTCTAGGCCTTAGGCAAAGTATTTCTTTGTCCGCAGGTTCAGGTTCTCCTCCAAGATTCTTGCGAGACCGCGACGTTCCATCGCGGGGGGCAAGGCACCTGAACATGTTGGCTGTGGGCATAGCCAGCATAGCCACTGTTGTTTCGATAGGTGTCTATGTGGTTCTACGTATACTGTTTGTCTTTTCCTTCCTTTCGGGCAGGCTGCAGGGCGGGTCGCAAACGGCTCGCTCGGTGGAGGCGTTGCAAGGATCAGAGAAAAGATGGGCCTCGGATGTGCACGGCAGCCAAAGCAGCTCTTTGCCGGCACAAGCCCAGCAGACTCCGGCTGTGCACCCGATCCCCCTCCCGGAGAGTTTCAGCTCCTGAGCTGCAGATTTTCGAGAAGGGCCATGCAAAGTTTCCCTGGACGCCCCAAATCCCCACAAGGTGCCACAGAGTCGCCTCCTGCTCGAGGTTGCGTCGCTCCCTGAGTTTCGGAATGCGACTCCTGCGGTCCTTTGCATGTGAGACTTTGTGAGGGGCAGCTTCCATCATCTTGGCCAGCTCCCAAGACCAAATAGACCAAGAAGTTTTTTTTGTAGTAACTTGGGTGCTCTGCCTTTGCCGTCTCGTCCATACATCCTTCCTTCCCAATTCTTACGGCATGTGTTCTGAAGGACTGGGGGTCTTCGCTGAATAGCAATGGTAGTCGCGTGCGGTTGCCAACTTTTCTTGCAATATCTGGCTTGCTTGCCATGTGTTGTGTCGTGTTGAGTTGTGTTGAGTTGAGTTGAGTTGTGTTGTGTTGTGTTGTGTTGTGTTGTGTGTGTGTGTGACCGGGTATGTGGGAAGCAACTCTGGCGGGCACGGTTGGGCTCGATGCTTGTGTTCACGAGTCCAGGCGGTCGTCGCCGCTGTTTCCTGGTGGACGGTCGCTTGCCGAAGAGGTCAACCATTGAAGGTTTTTGCTTGCAGTTTGCTGTGGGGCCGTGGGAGTTCAGTAGTCACCTGGCAGGCCCTGCGAGCTGAGTGTGCCCTGGCTTGTTGGTCTCATTTAGAGTACTCAAGACATTCAAGCCTATACACTTCCTGCCGCAGCCGTTTGCCCGTCTTTCCTGCTCAAAGTAGCGGACCTGATCGTTGCCTCACCCACCACAAGATGACTCCTGAGGTGGCTGGGCTCGGCTCAGAAAGGACACCTTTACTGAACCCATGCCTTTTGCAGGAGGAGGATGTGTGGGTACAGTCCATCAAGGACATTTTGCCAAAGTGCCGTGGCTTTTGCGCTGGAGATGCTGCAGAATGCGACAGGACCAGAGCAAGGAAGAGACGCTGAGCAAACTAGACTCCTGGCTGTCGGGCTCCCTACCATCTAACATCCATTGTTGAGCTCTTCTCTCTTCAAGCGCTGAGGATGCCCAAGACGGACGGCTTCTTCGAGGCACTGAGCTTGAAGTCCTCAATTTGGGGTACCCAAGAGGAAACTGATCAACAGCACAGAAAAGGTCGGCAGAATGTCTGAACATCTTGCAGGGAGAGCTAGCCGTAGCCGAGAGACGGAGGCAGACAAGCAAGCGTGTCCCATGGAAGATTATGCTGGCGTGGACGTGATTCCGGTACGGGGTGACAGCATGTTTGGTATGCGTACAGTAACTGACCCATGCTTGAACAGTTGCTATCACGAAAGTGACAGAAAGACAGTCTTCATGCGTGCCTTAGTGTTCAAGTCATATTGACCGGTCATCTGAACTATGACAGTGTCGTGAGAAGTATGCAAGCATGAGCTTGGCTTCAGGCACGACTTTGAGAAGCTTGCATGTTCACGGTGCAGGCGTTGCATGCCATTTCAAACTAATTATACGAGCTATCCGGAGTTTTTTGTTCATGGTGGGGCCTCCCTAACAACTGTCCTCAGTCGTTTGTTGAAGCGACGGCCTGCCAGGCTCCATCCGGACACAGGCTGTCGTGTCCTTAGAGTGATGAGACATGTGAGCATGACATACTCATGCGAGGGTCCCTTCTGAGGTCCTGTTTATCAGGGAGCCATGCTATTTTCCGGAAACGGGGCCCTATAGTCCACTTGCTTGCAAGGCATGTGCGTGCAGTTGTACCACCGACCGATCCCTCTGCTTTGAAGGCCAAGGCGGGCGACCGGACATGAGTGCGCTGAGACTCTACCACCACCTTTCGCTTGGTCATACCATCATGATGCCCTTCACAGATCATGTATGGGCTAGCTTTGCTGGTTTGTAGTTGTCAGGGCCGCTGTAGACCCACAGATCATATGTAAACCGGCCTCGGCCGGTTTGTCGTTCGCGTTGCCGTAGTAGACCGGGCTACCTGCTGTTTTTGTGTTTCGTGTTATTGGTCATGCCATCAAAGCACCCTTCACGGATCACGGCTGCCTTTGTCGGTTTGTGCCGTGGTAGAATCTCGGGGTTCGCGGATTCTCAGACTGGCTGCTGCTCTTGTGTTTCTGCTGCAGTGCTCTTTTTCCATCACAGCGGCGATAGCGCCTTGGCAGATCACCTGTAGGCTACCTTTGCCGGTTTGGGACTGTCGGTGGCGAGACAGAGCCTGGGCGTCCGTGTTTCTGCTGTCGTGGAAAGGTTTGCAACGGCTGTTCCGCAGGCGGGGTTCCAAAAATCCAGCAAGGGTGGGCAGCAGCTAGGAGCACGAGCATGAAAGTAAGATCCACAACAGTGCCAGAGGAGCACTGATACAAAGGGATCCAGCCCTCATTTTACGGTGACAGAAGCACTACAGTTCTGAATGCCGCTCTCTGTCAAGGAAGGACAAGTGACAAGAGTCTGGTGTTTTACGGTACTGCGATGCAGTGGGATGGCTTTCCTTCGTCAGGCCGTGCTGCTGCACTTCCACGGAATGAATAGCCACAACAATGGAAGGCCAACTTCCGATACTTGAAGCAGCTCCACCGGCATCTGCAGGGAGGTATGTAGCACTTCCGAACTCACATGGCTGCAGGAACTGGGCGGTTGAGTTCTTTCCGCGCCTGGCCCAACAAGGCACGACGTTGGTTCTCAGACTTGGTTGCCGCAAGCATGCCGTGGCGCATGTTCGGTACCAACAGGTTCGGGAAGCTTGCGTGAATCATATGGAATCACATGCCTCATGAGGATGCCGATCATGTGCGCATGTCCGGAAAAGGTGTAACTTCATCTTCAGCTGACCCTGGAAGCTTCTTGGGGCTCAATCCGGATTTAGGAAGTAGTGCTCTTTGCAGCGGACCACCAAAGGCGCCGTTTTTCTGCAAGTTGGAATGGTGTCGGAGGCCAGAGAACCTGAGAGGCCCGGCCCAACATGGCCTTTTTGACCCTCAAGTCCACCTTCATCGACATCACCTCGACGGTTCCGCGGCATGCAGATTTGTTCTCCGCGCCTCTTTTTCTTTGCTCTCCGTTGCATCCGAGGAGTTTGAGGATGCTGTGGATCTGCGACCTCGAGCCTACAGTGAGCCGGCGGACATGTGGCACTTGCATCAGGCCTGTGGGACCATGCGTGGCCTACGGTCTAAGCAAGTGAATCGGGTTGCTCTTCGCTCCTCGCAGGATGTGGATCCTGACGAAGAGTCCAATCGTCTGCAGATGGAGTATGTTGCTGTTCTAGAAGATCGCGCGAGCAACCTGGCCTCGGGAACGGAGGCGAGGGCAGATGTCTTTCTTTGTAGATGTCTGGCTGCGACTGTTATACCCTAAACCCTAAACCCTAAACCCTAAACCCTAAACTCCCTAAGCCCTAAACCGTGGTCCATTATGGTGCCAGGTGGAGCTCCTGCCAGGGCAGAGAGCCGATCCAGACGCAGGCAAAGCGAATCGAAGGGTAGCAAAAATCAAGTTCTTTTCCGCCCTTTAGTCGGGTCACAGACGACAAAATGACCCGAATGCTGTCACAGTAACCTTCCCAAGGCCCTTCTCAAAGCTTTGAGACTTTGACGCTTGCATCCAAGACTTGACCCAGGCCTTCGTTCTGCGTCTACCGCCTATGAGTCTTGTTGCTGCGTATCTCAGCTCAAGTGCTGGGGCTTGTCCTTGCCTGCCAACTTGCAAAAAGCTGAGGCAGAGGAGACTGACCGGGACACCGATTCCGTTGAGGAAATCTGGGATGCGGACTTCTTCGCGTGATATGCCAGTGGTCGACGCCTTTGACGCACCGAATGCTCATTACGCAGATTTCTGCTGTTTACAGTACAGCACCGACTTGCTGCGCAGATTTGTGTTCTGTGTATCGGCTATTCTGACGTAGCTGCTTTCTGTCCCAGGAACTACCCAGACGCGATGCTGATGATGAAGCCTTGCAGCATTGCAGCGTGTACAGAAAAGAGAAGGGAACCACAATCTGATAACGGGCCTATGTAGTCCTTCTTCAGGGCTTCGGGAGTTCAAGAATGACGAGTGTATTCACTCCTTCAGCGTCCTTTCTCAGCCGCTGCGGACGGATTCACTTGAATTTAGGCTGTCCTGTGGCATTGATCTCCTGGAAACCACGAGCTTTTGTTCTGGAGCTACGCCGAGTCCGTTGGGCTCCAGAACTCGGATGCAAGTCCAGAATGTAAAGCAGCGAAGCATGATGTCTTCTTCTAGCTCGCTTGATGGTGGCCAGATCTAAAATGCGCCTATGGAGGCGCTTTTGCATCCTGAATCGCATGGATCCGGGTGTTGAAACCTTGATCCATAGTGACGAACCTCTCCGTGGCTGGACGGATCATGGCCGCCGCGTTGGGGTTTCGGCAGATTGCTGTGTTGAGTGTCACCCGTGTCGTTAGCCAATTTGGAGCCCAAAGCTGCAGCCTGCTGCAATTCATTGCATACCTGAAGAACTAGTCTCGTCAAATGGTTGTGCCAGGATGATGGCATTACATGGCATTACATGGCATGACTACTAGCTTTCGCGGCGCTGGGCTAGATGCTTCCGTACCGGGCCTGAGGCTTCCTGCCCGAAATGGCAGCTCCTCAGTTCCCCAGTTTCACTTGAAGTTGCTCCTGGCACATTGGTCTTTGAGGCAGAGTCAGCTGTCGGCTGTGCCTGCCATCGCAGTGGCGCAGCAGTCAGACTCTTCCATCCCAGTAGAGCAGCTGTCAGACCTGATAGCGCTTGAGGAAAACTTCGTGTGATACTACGGTAGTGTGCAGTACACTTGCAGCCCCGGCAGCAAGAAGCTGGCAGTGATGGTAAGCTTCTCGGCATCTCGGGCGTAATCTTGGGGTGTTTTGGGGTGTTTGCTGGTCCGGGCCCCTGCTTTTGAGACTTTGGGAAGAGCAGGGCTCCAAACGCAGTCATGTTCCGTGCACTCTGCTCCGCCTCGACAGCTTTTTTTAGCAGGCTATGTGCTCTTCGCTGTGGATATGATGGGATCGATCCTCAGGTGAGAGTTCAGAGTCCTCCGAACATGACCGGACCACCTTTTCTAGTGCCAAGCTGAGGCCACGGATACAGTGAGGGCGAGCGTGCCCTTGTTGAGGCGAGGTAAGCTTGCTCTTTCGTGTGCCGAGTTCTTCCATCCCTGTTGCTTCTCTGTGTGAAGAATATCAACAAAGGGGAATTTTGTGTCATGTACCGACGACCTGCATCCGACACATGAAAACGTGTCAGCTCAACCTTGAACGGCTGGCCGGCTTGGCAGGCAGCCTCCACAATCACTCCTTTCTGAGCTTGCCGAGACACTGGGAACCGCCCGTCAAGACCCGCAGAATCACTGCAGCAACTGCACGATGAAGTTGCATTTGGCACAAACGATTTTTCGGATCTTTTCATGGATTCGTCACATGGCTCAAGTTGGGTGTTCGATGCTCTTGACTTGGACGAAACACGAAGGGGAAGGGGAAGTGGAGGCGGAGGAGGAGGAGGAGGAGGAGAAGAGGGCTCTTTGCAGAGCTTGGGCCGATAGCGTCCATGGTTTTAATGTGGATTCATGCCTGTGCTTAAGGGATTTGAAGGGAACGACAGAAAAATATCATATTTTACGTGATGCGGGGAAAAAGGCTTGGGAGTGCGTTTCCGGTTTCGCCGTGCGGATGTTTCTTTGAGTAAGGTTAACGTCTCCGGAAGAGAGTTGAACACCGAAATGATGCTCGTTGCAACATGTTGCAACTATATCTCTATCACCCATCCCGTACGCACCCTTGAATCCTACGCCGAGCAGGACTGGGAGGACGTGTTCGAGGACATGGCATCCTTTGCAGAGGCCTTCACTGTCAACCTCATCAGATGATGCCACCTGCAACGGCCCTCATCTTTCCGTGACTGATCTTCAGAGGAGCTGTACGGCGTTAGTGCTTCGCCGGCCGGTCCAGAGGCACGTCTACATTTGTCGCCATGGGAAGCGGTGGCTCTAGTTCCGAGTCCTCTACAACTCTACGGTTTGTGACTACCATCACACCATCAAGCTCCGCCGTACTGATTTCAGGACTTCCACTCTGGAGTCTGCCCAGAGGCAGGATGAAATGCCACCACACATTCAGTGCAGCCAGGTTTAGGGAGATGCAGAAGAGTTTCTGTGATTTGATGGTGGGAAGGTCATGAATCGCGTTCGCCAGCTGCCATTATTCCTCCACGGCCAGAGCTTGGGTGGAATGAAACTTGGCCCAATCAAACGTCTGTGTCACAGCGTCCACAGGGACAGGCGTCGTCGAATGCCAATTCTGCCGGAAGTTCTTCTGACTTTTTTTTGGTCTCTCTGGCCGGCTTCTCTTTTTTCAGACCCCGGAACATCTTTTTCCAAGCCACATGCCATTCTCAACTTTATTTTTTTGTTGGGGTCAAGAAAAAG